CGTACTTGACGAAGCACCTTTCTGTATCTTGCTGCTCTCAATACCAGCTTCAACTCTTTCCCCGATCATAATCAACTCAGTGAAACCAGACAATGAACTTCCGATCAAATGGTTGAAATACAGACCAGACAAGGTCCCCAGAAACATATTCACCAACTCCCTATCAGCCAGAGGGGGTTAGACTCTTCCCGCAAGATCTCTCCACTTCTGAGCGTAGTCCTTAAAACCATCGCTCGCACCCATAGACATACCCTGAAGTTGGGTACGCGTGGGAGCAAGGTCGGCATTATATTGGCACTGCTTGTAAAAAGCAGCAGCAAGGTCCTCCCAGTTACGGACGTTATCTCCTTCTAGTTGATAGAACCATTCAAGTTGAGTCCCTGAAAGACTATCTTGAAAGAAGTGAACCCAGAGGTTCCTATCAGCAGTATATGGTTGAATCTTTCTGACATACGATCGGAGGTGTAGCTTCGGACAGGAGACCCCATCGTACTTAGCAAAGAAAGGCGCTATAAACTTGTGGGGAATCACCACCCCAGATGCCAAACCCAAATCTCCAAAGTCCAACCCAAGTATCTTCTGGATCTCCATCGCGCTCAACCGGTCTTCGAGTTGCTTATACCTGTCCTCAGCCGAAGGATACTGGTCTTCATCAAAGTTAGTCTCATTGTTAGAAACCACAGGGCTAGGAGCCCTCCTTTCTTCTTGATTCTCTCCCCCTCCAGATGAGTGAGATAGATCAACCTCTTCTCGTAACCTGTTCCCAAACCTGTGACCCATATTCAGGAGGACCGTCTTCTTCTTCTTCTTCTTCTTATCCTTCAAGATAAGAGTCTTCAAATCTTTCTGCCCCTTGGCCAGGTTCATGAACATTTCCTGGAACTGAGCTTTTTGAGCTTGAAGAGCCTTAATAGCTTGATCAGTAGATGTTTCAGAAGACATGATGCACTGAAATAAACAGCGAAGAAGACGAGAAACCTGTAAGGGTACCTGTGATGAGGTGCATGGGAATGGAATGCATATGATATGATTTCAAATACTTCGGGAGATTCAAATTCGTAAACCAAAATAAAACACACTTTTATTAGATTAAAAACTTGAAACAATGTTTGACAAATGCTTTTAAGGCGTTACAAAGAGAAAAACTGAAGAGTAAATCAAAACTAGAAATAGCAAAAGACATCATCGCTCCCATGGTCGTTTTCCTTGTGTGCTGACATAGTCGTTGAGGACCTTCTCGTTCTCCAGCTGCCTTGTAAGCTTCAGGATCTTCCGCTCCTGCTCATGATACTTCTCTCTGTAAGTATCCCGCTCTTCCCTCAACTAGATCCAAGACCTCTTTAATGCCCCAATTTCAGTAGGCATGTATGGATGGAGGACATTATGAGGAACCCCTTCTTCATCAATACTCTCAACAATTATCGGTAAGACAACTTCGTATGGCATCCCCAGTTTTTTAGCACGGGCTCGAACCCATCGGAGATACGGTTCCATCGGGAGAGAGGTCTTCATTCCTAGTTCATGTGGATCAGAACTGTGCACCCTGTTCCAAGCTCGTATGAATTTGCAGCGATGTCCCTCAACATCCCCCATGAAGTCAAAGACAATGTCCGGAATCAGCAACTCATGAGGACCGTCCCTTCGAGCTCGCCCATACTGTCGTAAGGCCAAACAACGATTATAGGTGATCCCTCCTCTAATTCCCAGTAATGGAACATTGGAGTATTCCCCAAAGCAATCAATAACAGCTACTTCTTCCATGTCTCTAGTACTCTAGATGATGTCCGTATGAGCAAGGGACACAATTCTGTAGGCCCAACCCATGCCTTCCTCGTTCTTCAAAATAGATTTGGGGAGGTGAGAAATAAACCACCTCGCCAGCAATGGTGCACAACACATAAGGGTTCCCCGTTTCCGAGCAGTACGAGCATAAAGAGCGTGTAGAATGTCACCTAAGAGAGTGGGCACCAGATTATGGGACATGAAGATCTTCACTGCGTTCACGTCGACAAAAGAATTTGAATTAGGGAACAAAACCAGGCCATATATGAGAAGAGCTAGGATGTCTTCAAATGCTTGAAAGTCCAAACTGTCCCAAAACTGTTGAGTCTGGTCAATCAAGAACTTAGCCAGGAAGCCTTTAACCCCACTCTGAGTCTCCTAGTTAGACATTACATCAGCCTTTGTCAGATGTAGGGTTGTAGCAATATCTTCTGGTCTAGCTACCTCCAAACCTGTAAATGGTGTCTGCTCTAGAATAGAAATACCAAGTAAATCAGAGAACTCCTCCAAAGTAGGGACCAACTGATAGTCCGGGAAGGTGAAGCAGTGGTGTAACGGGTCAAATAACTGGAACAAGACACTCATCATTTGCTCATCTAATCTGGAAGTGACCAAACCAAGGAGATGACCATGCCTTATGACAAAGGAAGAAGTATCAGGAACCTTTGCAACCAAATCTATAAGCTGAACAGGGATTTGTATGAAGTTGATCCAAATAGTATTTCAGCGCATAGATGCCATGATCGGCAAAACAGAATAAAGATGAATCCCCTCGGTCTTTGAAATGGGTTAGTCTAATGAAATATGCATGCAATGTCATGATGCATGATGTCATGATAGAAACACACCACAAGTATCACAGATAGCAAACATGGTAAGGGCAAATAAGTCACACAATAGCCCTTAGATTTCAGGCTGGCATGGAGTTTAGGTATTACCCTCTTTCAGTTTAGTTGGTTCAACCTGTCCTAGTAATAGTAATCGGGTTCTAGAGAATCTCAATATCACTGACCACCCTCGATCGGTCATAATTCCAGTTTAGCAACCTTTTCTTGCGGCTGGAACCATCGCGAGAGTTTGGTCTCAATGAGTGTAGCATACTGCTACTTTTCTATGGCCAAGTTGGTCAATTATAGGTTCTAAGGTCAGTTGGTGCTTAATAACCCCTTAGCAGCCTCATATTCTCCTTGTTCCTCCACAAGGGATATCGGTACAAACTAAAGTGTCACACCAACGTAGCTACTGCTTCAACCTTATCGGTCTAGGCCGTATAGTTTCCTCACAGTCTATTACTACTTACCTAAAAGGTATCCCCAGATCCGGGTTAGGATCTATAGTAAATCCGATTCAAACCCACAAAGATAAATCATACAAATCATGCAATTGAAAACATTATGATAAAGTAATCCTAAGGTACACCCCATTTATTAGGTCCCCAGCAGAGTCGCCAGTTCTGTGATACGGTGGAAGAACTGACTGTTTTTGGAATGCTGGTTTGCATTTTTTGCGTTTGTTTTCGCAAAATGTCGCGATAAGCAAGAGCCACCACCGACTTTTATTTTATCCAACAAGGAAAGGAAAAAAGAACAGAAAAATTCCTTTTTCGAGATATTTCTGAGTACGGGGGGTAGATTATAGAAAGGGAAGGTATTAGCACCCTTTCTATCCGTAGTTATCTACGGGCTCTTAGGTGCTTGCTCATCATTTTCAAAATTGTTTTCTTTGTGTTTTTGGGTTTTGAAAAGTTTTTGTTTTAACTTTGATTTAACTCTTGCTTCTGTCTTCAAGAGTGTAATGAAGTGTTTTTGAAAACTTTATTTGTAAAAGAGTGTAAGTGAAAAAAGTTTGTTTTGGATGAGCAAGTACTTAAGAACTAATCTACCTACTCGAAAAAGGAATCGTTCTATGTTTGTTTCCTTTAGACAATGCTATCCCACTATTAGTGAGTAGGTAGCACCGTCGTTGGAGTTTGAGGGTCAATTCTAAAGGGACATACAGTCACTAAAGCAATGTTAGGACGTCTTAGTGGTAACCCTAATGTCTTTAGATCATTTATCTGAGACAATCTTTTCGAGGCAACTTATGATCCTTTAGACTAGAGGGCGACCTCTAAAACAACCTATACTCAATGACCGTTTACAAAGACAACCAAGTGGGAGTGTACCATAGGAGTGCGCATGTGCGAGTGATTCAGTTTATTTTTATCTTTGCACAATTAAGGGTGATCTAACTGTTTTAAATTTAGTCATTCATTCTTGTCATGCAAACCCTATTATCAAACATCTAGCAGTTAAATATTTGCAGAAATTAAAGTGCGGAAATTAAAACTACGCTATTACAAGGCTTCGGGTATTTACATAGCCAAAAACAAACCCTTTGAAAATAAAAGCGGTAAAAGTAAATGTCTTAATTAAATTATTACAAACCGGGAGCAGATACAATAATTGGATAAAAATAAAGCGCGCGAGAAAATTAGATCAAATGCGAAAACTAGGGTTTTGACCCTCCTAATTAAAAGAAAATATTTTTGTTGTTTTTTTAAATATTTTTTAAGAAAAGAAATTAAGTCTTAAACACTAATTAATTGGTTATTAAATAAATTAATGAACAATAATTAAATGACATATTTTTGGGTTTTGGTTATTTTTAGGAAAGAAATAAAATAATTAAGTTAGTATAAATCCTATTTATTTTAATTGATTTTAATTATTTACAAAAATGAATTAAAGTTATCTAATTAATCGACCTAATTAAATTAATTAATTTATTGATGAAAAATAAAAATTCTAATTTTAATTGGACATAAAATATTTTTTGGTGATTTTTTGATAAAAAGAAAATTATTTTTGGTTAGTAAATAAATAAATAAATAATTAAGTGAAATATAAACAAAAATATAAAAGATGAGAGATGGGCCTGAATTGGAGGTGTGCATGGCAATTTTCCTGAGCCCATTGAGATGTGATCCGTGCTGACTTTGGTGATTCTGTATGGCATCTTTGACTTAGCTTATGGTGTGCTTTCAATGGTGGCCACCAGATTTAGCCATCTGGCGTGTTGGATGATGAGGGAGTAGGATGGACATCAGACTCAAGCGCGTATTGGATCTCCTGTAAAAAAATGATATAGAGAAATGGGGGACCTGAAATTCGAACCCAGACCCCAAGGCAAATTCCTTGCTACGCTTGCCACTGGATCACTTGCTGCTTGTTGTACAATTATAGAGGACCAAGCCATTGTGGTGAAGTTCTAATTGCATATCTATCTTGTTTTGGCTTCTCCAAAGGATCCGTCTCATGAAATTCCTTAGATGCTTTGACATAAGCACTTCCATCCAAAATATATTCCATAATAGCAGCTGCCTCAATTTGACCAGGATGGTGCTTCAACTTATGTGTCAAATGATCAGTAAATTCAGGTTTCCCTTGCATAACTTCAACAAAAATAGCTGATAGGACTTCAGACAAGACAACCAAGATGTTAGCTTCAAATAGAACAATAGAAGCTAAACCAGAACCAACAGAAGTTCCATTAGTAAGTGCAAGACCTTCTTTTGGTTGTAATTCAAAGAAATCAACATTGATTTCAGCTGATTGAAAAGCTTCTTTGGCATTAAGTATTTCTCCATAGAGTCCACGAGCTTTGGAATTTGGTCTTCCAGTTAGCAAACCAACAATGTAAGAAAGAGGAATAATATCTCCAGAAGCAGTGATTGTACCACGAAGTGGTAAACATGGGGTGACGTTGTTGTTAAGGAGCTTGACAAGGGCTTCTAAAATTTCAAATCTAATTCCCGAATAGCCTTGGAGAAGTGTGTTGATTCTCACAAGCATAGCAGCTCTTGTTGTTGTGTGTGGTAGTGTGTGGTTTGACTCACTTCCAGTTCCAAATATTCCAGCATTCAGAAACCTTAAAAACAAGACTTAAATAGAGTAAGTATGAGGGAAAAAATGTAAAAAAAATTTTGCTATCCATATACTAAAAAAAATTACCTGATTAGTTCTTTCTATAAAGTGCAATGCTGTTTGGTTCGACGGCGACTCGTGGAGCCAAAACCTGTTGTAATACCGTAAGTATCCGTGCCATTTTCCACACTTTCCATTACACAAATTATTTCATTAGGTTAAAATTTAAAAGCTAATGATAGAGGATTTTTTATTGCTTTTTCTTTAAGTTCTCTAAAAATAAATAATAATAAAATATATACAATGGAGTGCAAGTTTTAGAGAAAATCCCACAACACACTCGTCGTTAACACACATTGTTAAATACACTAATTTTGATTGGTTAAATTTTTTATAACATTAACTTATTAGATCTGCTTGATACATATAAATTTTAATCAATAATAAAAGTGTTAAAATAAAAAATATGAGTGTTAAACTTAAAGAGTTCGCTTTTAGCATTTCTCGTAAGAGAATAAATGATTTCTTTTGATATAATATATAAATTACATTCAAATCAGATGCTTAACCAATTAATTGATTTCTTATAAAAGAAATAAATGAACATTCAAATCAAATGGATTAATAAACCAATTGATTTGAAAATATATAACGAGCATTTATTCAAATTAAATTTATGGATAATGCTAATTTGTGCTCCAACTTAAAACACAAGTTAAGAATTAAATGAAAAAATAATAATATTTTGAAAATTGCGCACTATTTTAAAAGTGAGTATAAAATTATTTTTTACTATTTTTTTCGATACAAATTTTTTTAAGTGAGTTTTATTGTAGGTGAATTTTTATCCTAGGGTTTTATTTGAGAAGGTTGGGAGAAGTGATTGCTCGTGAAACAAAATATTATTTTTTCTCTTACAAACAAAAGCAAAGTCAACTTGTCAGATCCACGAACTCATTTTCTTTCCTCAATGGCAATGTTCAGAGGACTTACTTTCGGAGTTTTTCGCTCACTCACTATCAACCGTAAGTTCAGCTTCAGGTTTCTTTTATTACATAATATCATCAACTATAACTTTCTATTTTGATTCATTGACTTTAATATAAAAAATTGCTTCATTGATAATATAAAAGATGCTGGGTTTGATTTTTAGTGACCTAGGTTTTATCTCACCAATGAGTGAGTTGTTTGGTTTTCTAGAATAGAAACTTGTTCATCAAGTATTAACTTGTGAGTACTGTATCTGTATCTATCTATAGCACTACAATGGAAGAGTTGAAGAGTCTGAGAATCATAACTGTTATCAAGACTCCATACAAACCCAATGGCGGAATCGCTTCCTATGATAACTTGGTTAACATGCAAATTGACCTTATCTGGGCTATACAACCTTATATCACAACAAAATCAAGATTATTGGCTATGTTGGATGGAAACAAATATATGAAGACATCCTGTTTAGTTTCTATGTTTGGTCTTTCTGATATAATGAAATATAAGGTGATTGTTTAAAAGGAATTATTGCTTCAATTTTGATGTAATGAAATTTTGTATTTTCAACTAAGATACTTGGTTTGCAGGCACAAGACTTGCACACATATGGAAAGAAAACACCTTGAGAACACTAGAATTATCGGCAGGCCGTCTCCTAAGATCGGTGATATTGTTCTGGTTTCAAACGGGGCTGAGAAACCAATAGGGTGTGGATTGTAGAACTATGGTTCTATGTTCTGTGTTTGCCTCATGCAGCTTGAACAGGAAGCTACCAGGTGCTTCTATATGATTATTCCTTCGTGACTTTTTCTTTCTGCTTAGCCCGTTGACGTGGCCTTTGATGTTTAGTTTTTTTATGACACAGTGATTCAGCGTGTGCACTGAGCATGAAGAAATTGCTCGAAACAAGACCTGACGCTGCAGTTGAATTGTGTACAAGGTTAGGTCTTCCTTTCGTCCATACAAATGCATATCGTCTAATCAATAGTGAGGGTGACAGCTGAGATATGAATGCTTAACAAGACCTGATGTTTTTTTAGAATTTTTTTTTGCAATAACCAGGTATTAAAAAAAAATCACAAATAACCATGTTTCGGAAAAAATTACGCAAATAACCATGTTTCAGATGACTCCCCAAAGGAGGAGCCATCTCACTTGGCGCCTACACCTATTATTTAAGGGGAGGCGCCATCTCACTTGACGCCTAGGTGCTTAGGGCTTGCCCTAAGTCAAGTGAGATGGCGCCTAAGTGCATTTCTAGGGCAATTTTCACGTTTTTTTTTCAATCCGGTGCGTTGCGTATTCGATATAGGATCAACAAAATTGACTTTTTATTTACAAAAGATGATTACACCCATAAGAATTACATAAAAAAATACAGATAAAAAAAACAGATTAATCAGTGGTCTCCCGGAACCCAGTAATGACCCCCGGTTCCGCATCCCCGTCCTCGCTTTTCCTGTGCTGGGTGTCGTCGCGTTTCCTGCTGTGGCAGAGTCGATGGCCCAACGAAGTCAATGCGTTCCGGATCCATGAAATCAGTCAGATCTCCATATCTAGAAGATCCTCTTTGGTACAGTCGGTTACCCATACCCTCAAAGTTTGTTCGTATTGGCGGTGGGTAGGGTTCCATGGTGGGTCTGTAGCATTGATCGTCTGAGTACGGGAGGTAGAAAGGAAATGGATCCTGGGGTGTTTGGTATTGAGGATGTTGGGTGGTTTGGTGATACTGTGGTTGATGGTAAGTTGGGTCGGTTGGTTCATAATCTTCCGACATTCCTAGATCATGGCTAAGGTTGGATGTTGACGGACCCATATTGGGATATACAGAAGACTGAAATTGTGTGTGGGTATGCGAGTGTGTTGGTATTGTGATTGGAATTGCGGTTGGGTGTGAGACATATGGGAGTATTGGTACTGAGGTGGTGATTATGGTTGGTTGTGGGGCATTTGGGTGTAATTGTGTTGTGGTGGGGATTGTGGTTGGGTGTTTGTGGTTCAGTTTCGTCTGGGGGGTTGGTGGGAGGTTGATGTGTGTTGGGTTTGTTGTTGGGGAAACGAGGGTTGTGCCCATTGTGTTCATGGGTCAACCAAATACCTTAGATGAGACACGTGCATTTCAGGGTTACTAACCGACCTGTACCAAGATAAATATTGATCCGTGTGTCGCATATTATCATGATTGAGGAAAATCGGGAATTGCAAGACATGTCGGTGACGCCTCTGCCACATCTTACACCATTTTGGAGCAAAGTCTTTCCAGTTGGTAAGACCCCACTGGGCGTCGACCCTTTTGAGATGCCACGGGGACAAACAAGTCAGGTCACTGAGTATCTCTTGATGCATTCCGAACTGCATCTTCACACGGTCGTTGTGGTGCATCTCCACAACATTGAACCGTATGATTGCAGTCTTGGCGCTCCAAATTGCTGCATCCTCGAGGTTTGGTTCATGGCCCAAACCCAAATATGGTCTCCAGACAAACTGCGCGTAAAATTAAATCAGGTTAATGAAAGCGTAATACATAAATAATTTAAAAGTAGGAAAGTTGAAAGGTACGACGTACATTATCCAGGCCTAGGTGATCCAATAGATTGCGGTATAGTGCGACATTGAATCTTGGATTGTTTCCGTAATCCAAACCCGTCACGTAATACCTAAAGGAAATGAAAAATATTGTATTTTTAACATATAGTTGGTGAAGAGATGAACAGTAATAAATGATATAACTAGATGACTTACTTTGTTGCGTACGGGAAAACGAATATGTTGTTGTTGACGGGGTTTAGGGACTCCATCCTCCACCAACCTCAGGCTTGAAGTGAAAAAGCGCAGCCATAAAATGTACATTTTTCCTTGATTGCATTTTTGCACAAGGAACTGTATAGGTGGGCTAAAACAGCAGAACCCCAACTATACTTTCTAGTTTTTTCGAAATCTCCAAGTAAATTTAAATACATAAAATTTACATTATTTCCCGTACTTTCGGGAAATAAAAAGGTTCCAAATAGTATCATTAGATAAGTTCTAGCTTTTATTACCCTATCTTGCTCGGAGGAATTTTCGTTTAATTCCAAAGTTGCATAATGATTTTTAAGCTCAGTTAGTAGTATACCCTGACCTCTCGCACCACCACCTTCAACCATATCCATGCCCAACAATTCTTCACACAGAGAATTGGGTTGTTGAACCGACCCATTAACGGCCTTACCGTCGACAGGGAGACCCAGTAACATGTACACATCCTCTAGCGTGACGGTACATTCACCTATTGGTAGGTGAAATGTATGGGTCTCTGGTCTCCACCTTTCCAACATGGCAAGTATGAACTTTGAATCTATTGTGCAGTTGGAGATCTTTATAACATGTCTGAAACCTGCGTATTCCAGATATGGTACGATAAATGGGTCGGGAGTCAGGTAGTTGTGAGACCGGATTCTGAATCTTTTGGTATCCCGAGTTAATAATGTAAAGGTGTAAGATTAAGTAAGATGAACAAAGCATTACCAGAAGTATAAAAAATGTATAACTATAAAAGAAACTTATAAATGCTGCAATGTTGTCTCTTGTGCCTCTATGAGAATCCCCCATTGTGAGAAGAGCCATTGTTGAAAATGCCTGAGATTATGAAAGACTTAGAAATTGTAAGAGATTATGAAAGACTTTGTAGTAGAGAGTGAGACGATTGTGGGTGCGAGAGAAGTATGTTATGCTCTGTATTTATAGGCAAAAAAATTTCATAGAGTAAGTTAGGTGGTAGCTGGTGCATGCATGCATGATAAGTGTCAATCTTGCACTGAAGGTGCAGGATAGGTGGCAGTCTTGGAGAAGGCATCTCTGCATGCATGTAACACGACTGGACATTAAGGGAGGCGCCATTAGACTTGGCGAAAGAGTACAAAAATGAAAGGTGTCGCCATCCCCATTGGCGAATA